ATTTTGTTAAACATTGATCTAGCCTGTTCTATACGCGATGTAACTTCTAAGTCGAAGTCAAGGTCCGATGTTAGCCAGGATCCCAGGTATTTGAACTTATTTACCGTGTCTACGCATTGTCCGTATACACGTATGTTGGGTGGTGGAATATTTCTCCTACTAACGACCATTATCTTGGTTTTTGCCGTGTTTATTTTAAGGCCCAATGGATATCCTTCCCGAACTATGTTGTCTAGAAGTTCTTGAAAAGCCTCAGGGTTGTCAGCGATAATCGCGGTGTCGTCTGCATATCTAAGGTTATTAACAGGGATGCCATTTATTTTTATGCTAATGTCTTTATCTTGTAGGGCCTTATCGAATATATATCCCGAGTATAATATATTAAACAATAAGAGAGACAGTACACATACCTGACGAACTCCACGTTGTACTGGTATTTCGTCTGTTTCGTCTTGTCCTAACCTGTTATGTATGCTGTCTGATTCCAATATACTGTTTTTACGAATTGGATATCGTTCTTGTCTAGACCTTTTTCTTGCAAGATGTTAAACGGCACTGTGTGTTCTACTTTATCAAAGGCCTTTTCGTAGGATCACGAATCATATGGATCAAAAGAGGAATTATATTATTGTAGATGTACTATACTTCCCTCTGGTTTAAGTAAGAACAATGTTCGGTTTGTCACGGGGATTTTAAGAGGAAATTGTCCCTCCCAATGAACACTTCAGTAGATTGAAGCTAAAAACCAGCAGCGAATATAGATTCTGTAGGGAAATAGGGAAACCAGAATATCTCATTACTGAGTGCGAGAAGACAACTATTAGTGTCATAAATTTTGACTGTAAATCTTGACTGTAAAACCATATCAAATATTGATTAAATTGTAAGAGCCCTGAGGGTGTATGATGAGTTATAACTGAAGAAAGGAGGACACAATACATCTATTAGGTCGAGGTGATTAATTTCCCCCATCCCAGACAATCTACAATTTAGACTTCACTGTATTATCGAATGTAATACCACAAGATGTTTCGGGATTACCGAATAATACTTTTACCTGACACGAAATGCGTTACCCGGCAACACTACGACTCCCAAGGAGGAATAGTGTTGCCGGTATCGCATTGAGTGTCAGACAAAACTATTAAGTAATCCCGAAACATCGAGTTGTATTCAAAAGATTTTACAACGAAATAAAGTACATATTTATATCCTTCTTATCTTAACCATTTTGTAATAAGAATTGACGGGATATTTTGTGGAACTGACAGAATTACTTACTTCATTTAAAGGCATACTTTTAAATAGAGTTTAATTTTTTTTCGTGTAGATATATATAAGGGAGATATATAGATAAGGAAGAAAAAGAAGAGGAGAGAAAAAGTCAAGAAAAAGAAAGAGATAAAGCTATTTGAAATGGGTTTTAATCTCGAGATTCTCGAGAACACTTGAGCTTTGAAACATATTGGACAAATCAAATAAAATCATGTTATCGAGAAGCTTCTCTCGGTTTGTATTCCGTATTATTTTATAAAAAAATAACTTTTTTAACACTTACATATATGCTTTTTCTCCCCTCTTCAGTTATTGAATTATTTTTTATATATCATTTTGCCATAAAATAAGATCTTTAGAGGAAAGGGGTTAGTTCAACACGTGACAAAAACAAAACAAAAAGGTTTTGTGGCCTCTAAAAATGACGTTAAAGAAAAGGGGCGGTATAAAATCCCTTTACCTTACGGTTTACACATAAAAAGGGCCAAATTTATTTTTAGAGGGTTTTATTTACAATCCCGATGACGCCATCGCGACTCCACCGTCAATCCAGACGTTGCAGAGGCGTCGAATCTGTTTGGAGCACCATCCACATCGGAATAATACCGTTTTATCCGGAACTGGGAATTTCGTCGAGTTTGAAATTGTTTTGCATTACAAAAACGCCCACTCTATTATCCCAGTTTCTGGTTAAGGAAACAATTTCTGTGAGTGAGAATATTTGAACCAACGTAATTGTGACAATAATAGAATTATTCATCTGCGGAGTGATCTCTTATAGTTTTATATCCTTTTTATATATCGATGTGTGTATTTATCCTGTAGTTTGTATATTATATAAAAAATGTTAAACGTCTTTGAGACTACTTTGGTTATTTTGAAAAATTCGTAATATATCGTGATTTTTTCCAACTTTCACGATGACATCTTTGTTTTGTAAACATACATATAAAAACATGTATGATGAGTTAGACTGTATGATGAGCTATAACTAAAGAAATGAGGACACAATAGATCTTTAAGGTGATTTCTCCTACAGGTAAATCTGCAGGTATCACAGTGAATATATCTAAAAACCCTGTATAAAGTGGAGTATACAAATTACTTGAGTTTTCAACTTAATTACCAAATAGATCACGCATCATACAAATCTGATCTTATAAAGATCCTATATTCGTATACAGTTATACTGAAATTATTATTAACTTTAAAAGTATTATATTAAAATACCATGTTTGGAAGAAGAAACATTCACGAGGAACATTTTCTATATCAGTTCATGTTTATTCAAATTACCATAAAAATATATGGGGTATAAAAGATATACATTGAATTTTAATAGTGACATTTTAAAATCATGCACAAATATCTATCCTAACCAACATAAATATATCCAAATTATGCACATTACCTAACAAACTCTCATAAATATATTTTATTTTAGGCCAACAAAAGAAAACTACACAATTCCCTTCAATTTCAAAACATAAAATCGTACGGCGCCATGCAAAAACTGCAATTTTTCCCGGTTCCCTATTAGGAAACATCCCTCTTTGTGACAGAAACAGCAATTCCAGTTTGTATCGTTTTCAATGTGGCATGCGGCTATGTCATTTTTTCCCTTTTCCGCAACGTTTCATGTCAATAAAGCGATCTTACTCGCCGATTCACATGCAATAGACGATTCGCAAATTGATTTGCGATCGCTGAATGTCATAAACGGGTCGTTAGGGGAGACAGGAGCAACTCTATAAAAGAAGTAATCGTTCTTTTTATTCATTATTTCATAAATATGAGTGTATTAAATTTATTGATCTTTAATGTTTTTTTTTAATATTAGTAGATTTTCATGATATTTTCACGACACTTTGAATCCTTTATCTCTTCGAGTTTCATCTACAGTACGTCTGCTCGATCTGTGTCTATGAAAGGAATGCGGACAAAAAACATTTAAATAAACAGCAATATATTTTATACATCGACTTGACGAGTACGTCACCGCAAATCGCTCCGCCCACTCATTTTATTGGCTACTTGCAAATTTGTCGATTTTTTATTGATGGGACGCGTCGCGTCGTCTAATTTTTTACGAAAAACATCGGGAGAATATCGTTTCCCCTCTCACGGATACCCCGTAGCTACAGAACGGACAGACGTACTGTACATTCCTAATTTCAGCTCCCTAGCTTACATAGACGATCCAAAGACCCATTTCAACTTCCTCATTTGCTTACCACTTTTTCAATCGTTACCATTCTTGTTGACGCGTGTCGTGGCGCTACCTCGTGTGTCATGACCATGAATTTTTATTCCCACCGCTCGTAAAGAAGTTTAACTTCAAAATATACAGAGAAGTGAGTATTATAGTCAGTATTTCGTTCAAAAATCAACTCTCTAGGAGGTATAATTTAATTCCTTTATAAGTAAACTTGTGCCTCAATCTAGCGGGATAATATTTATATGCAGTAAACAATTGAAAATCTAAAGGTGAACTTATTAATTTATTTTTCAGAAATAACGGTAAACCACTTCTTATAATATCTGTTTATTTTACATTATAGTTCTCAAAAGTTTTTAATGTGAAAGAAACTATTTGCTTCCAAATTAGGTAAAGACACTATGATATTTTAGAATCATTTTTTTAAAGATTATTATAAAAAATTAAAATCTAAGTAGTCCATTTAAATTGTTAATGTTTGTGGTATAACAAATCAAAATATTTATCTGAGTTTTACCCCTCCTTCCACTAGATGCAGAAACAATTTAAGCCACAAATAGATCCACTTTTATTCTTTAAATTTGAATGAACTGACGTCATACTACATAAAAAACGCGCCGAGTATATACCGATTAAAGCGGAAAATTCTTTGTGAAAACAAAAGGGTATCGTAACCTAGTTTTTTTTCTCTCAATTCCCCTAGATGACTGAGGGAAAAGTAGGTTAAACCAAACGTCGAAGAACCCTGCTCGATCAGCTAGAAAGAGCCATTTTGAAAATACGCGTAGGAAGCGTGAACATCACTAAAAAGAGATTGATTCTAACGACCTTTTTTTGAAGAATCGAAATTTGGATAGGCGATTATTTACTTACGCCAAAAAATCGATTTCTCGCTTAGTTTCTTGGCTGTTTTATGTTCGCAAGAAAGATGAAGTGGTTTCGTAAACGACTGGTCGTGGGCAGATGTCGAAAATTGATTTACAAAGAGCGTTTAGTACTTATTTTTATTTTGAATGATGTAAACTATGTGATTGGGTAACATATTTTAAAATAAAAACATAAATTTACCATTTTTCTTAATTCTAAAAAGCTGTCTGAGCTCTTTAGCATTTTTTTATAATTACTCAAATTTACATAGATTAAAAAGCATAGAGCGTAATAAATTAGTTTTTGTTAGTTAGGTAATACTGATTTTTTCTGAAGTTGATGTTTATTTGATAATATTACTAGTCTCCCCCCCCCTCACCCCTCTATAACGTTTACACGCATTGGTAATGGTAAAATCTATAGATGCTCATCCTTTGCTCATAGCAATATAGCAAAACTATGATCAATTGATATCCATATGTTGTAAAGGTTAATACTCACTCTGTTTAAATAAATTATATATTAATTCTACTCAACCTGGGGAAAAACTCTGTCTAGTTTTATTTTTATTCTTTTTGTATAATATACATTTTTTATATATTTATATTTAATTTTTAATATATTCTAATTTCTTTTGTAGAATCCAACCTCGCACCACCAAAAGGAGGTTCTCTCCTCAAATTCCGGACATCTAGTCAAGATAACGACAAAAAATGGTCCCATCATCTCTAAAACTGCCCTCAACAACTACAGTCAAGTATGTATAACTTACACCCTTATACTTAGATTAAATATCCAAAAGATACACCACATCCGTTTTAAAATCCGCCAGATATAAGATATACATAAGAAACGACTATTTTACATTAAAGGTTATATCAAAATTAGCGGTAGTAATTTTCAATTAGTAGAAAAACTTTCACTAGATACTATTTCAAAATTTGCGAATAATGTCATTTTGGCCTATGATTATCATCCGTCAAGAGGAATTGTAAAAAACGTTTCATTCAGAACCTCGCAATTAGTGGAATAAATTAGTGGTTTCAATTACACTTTATACTTTTTAACGCTACTGTGGTGACGTGCTGTATCTTAATGTATTTAACCTAAGCTTTTATCATATACGTTCAACTTTTCGTTAGTTTTTTGTCTTCACTAACACCTTTTTATTCCGTCGACACTGGCATACGCTTGATAGTAACAGCTTAGCAGCATCATCCATCTTTTCCATTTTCTTTTTCAGCCATTGCATATTTCATCAGAGCACTATGAATCACACACCGGTTCTAACTCATCCAGACATCTCAGTGCCAGTTATCGCAACGGTATATCCAGAAGTGCGTTTTTCAATTCAGATGTAAGTATATATCGTTTATGCTCATTGTTGGAACATTGGATATTACAATAAAACCGTCTCAAAATTTACATAATTTTCCATAACCATACGTACTCAAACCATAAATGCCTAAGCTAATCTTAAAAACTTGTTCATATTTCAAAACTCTATTTCAAGCAAGTACTGGTTTAATAAGTTAAATTACAAATGAGGGGTTCAGAAGTGAACTGGATCAAGTCCTAGAAGATAATTATGGACAAAATGAGACTTTGAAAGTTTTTTAATGTTACTTAATTAAAATAAAACAAGCTGTAGCAGAAATCTTGCCACGATCCTTTATTATATTTTAAATTCTATAATTGCAAACTAAAGTAACTCAAATTACAACTGTGGTCATTTTTAAGAATGTTTGTTTATCTTTTTTTTTGCATTTGAACCATTTTATCTCTGAAAATATTTGAAATTTTGGGTATAAATAGGTTCATCAGTACATTTTTCTTGGTCATTTAGGGATTTGTTGACTTCGCATTGTCTATTAATAGTGTTTTCTTCGATTTCTATGAAAATTATGGTATATAGGCGGGATAAAGGGAAGATGATCTTTCATGTGTTGCTTTTTTGAGTGTGTTACATACAGTACATTACATTTGCGTCTATATTAAATGATAAGGTTTTTCTTCCTTGTGCAGTTTTTATTTGTAAGAAAAACAGCCTAACTATTGATGTAGTAATAGTGAAAATAATGATAAATCAAACTATACTTTCAAAATCGACAGAATCAGATCTTTCAGAACTGATTCTATCGATTCATCTTTCAAACTGAACCATTTGCGGTTTGTTTCATTGTCATCCATTTGATCAAAAAACCTATTTTCTAAACTCTAGCATGTGTGTTAAAGTCGCGCGTAAAACAGCGTTAAATTTTATAAACTTGATCCAGTTCACTTTTGAAAGGAATCAACAGAATATTCAGAAACCAAACAGAAACAGGCTATACTTCTTAATACGTGAAGTATGACTTGATTCATTTCTCTATTGGAAAAAAACAAATCTTATCTTAAAATAGTAGGAAATTGGACTTGATCCATTTTAATTCTGACCACTCCAAATATAACTAATTTATTTTCTATTTTGTTATATTAATTATAAATTTTATTGGAACTACTGCCTGGTTAACAAAAAAATGTGCAGTATTGGTAACTACCAATACATAATAATTTTTTTAACACTCATGATGCAGCAAAATATCAAAATAGTGTTCGAAAATTAAACTACCAGCGCAAAAACGGCCTAACCCCAAAAAACGTGTTTTGAGTTTGGTTCGATTGTCACTAAACTTTATTACGTTTTTTGGGGTTAGATCGTTTTTGCGCTGGTAGTAGCCTGAAGTAAGTTTTTTGCTCTGGTAGCCTGAAATAAACTTAATTGAGGCTACCAGCGCAAAAACGGCCTAACCCCAAAAAACTTGTTTTGAGAAAACTTAGAATGAAGTTTAGTGACAATAACGCTACTAGTTTAATTTTCCGACAATATTTTTATATTTTGCTGCAAATATTTGCCTAAAGACCTAATCAACTAAATTTTAGACATAAGTATATGTATAATAAATGTTGATTACTAAAAAAAATGTGGATTAGACGTTTTAATTACAAGTTTTTATTTATGAATTTATTTGAAAAGTTAATAGGCCCAATATTAATAATTGCATGAAAACTATTAATGAAGCAAATTTTGTAGCTTAAAACTTTTATTTTTATTTAGAAATTAATTTAATAAAACAAATATCATCCAGGTCAAATTTGCGAGTTTGTGGATTAGGCCGTGTTTGCGATGCGATGGTAGCTTCATTTGTAAAGAAGTATATGAATTAGTGAAAAATGCTACATACCCATGAATAATTTTAATGATCGAGTGATGAAGAATGCATATTTTGTTTCAAATACCAGTAGGAAATATAATCTTTTAATGAAAAATGCTAACGATGTTTGGTCCTTCGCAAACCTAATTGTAAGACAAGTGTAAATATAATATTTCATTAAAATCTGAATCAAGTTTTCTTTTTAAATTTTTACTTTTCACGTATACATTACATGGTTAAAGAAATGTTATTAATAATTTAAAAAAATGCTTTATGCTTTTGTACCATGTAAAAGGTATTTTAATAAATTAAATATAATTCTACCATAAAGTGTGTAAACCATGTTCACTTGTTAATTGCATTTTACATTAAAATTTAGATTAATGTGAATAATGAATAAAATAAAATATATCACATATTTACTTTCTTTTTTGATCTTATATAGAACTTAGGTTAAATAAAAGACGTCAAGATAAAATTAATTCACCGAAAATCATTCACTTTAGTGTTAAATTGAATTAATAATTTCATCTAAGCAATTTAACGGCATTAAGAGCGGCTACAGGAGATTTTTATTAATTGTCTATTTATAGGTAAATTCAGAATCAAATTTTCTTAATAACTTTTTTTCTTTATATAAAAGAAGAATATAATTACCTGTATAATTTGTTCTAGGATGATTCAAATATTCAAGTTTTTTAAAATTTTATACGTAGGTATATGATACTGTTAATAAAAAAACAGCTGAAGAAATATTAACTAAAAATTTTCCTCTGAATCCTCCATTAATTTCATTCATAATAAAATTGCCATGATTTTACTTTTAAAAATTAAAAGTAAAACATTTGTTGATAAGGGATTAAAATCAGGACAAAATAAATCCACTTTTTTAATATAAAAATGTAATATTGAGAATAGAGATATAGTGAATGTGAATTCAAAATGATACCAACGAACAAATACGATTAAAATTTTAATTTATCTCATCTTCTGTTATAAATGTAATTATGTGTGGTAAATTAGAAAGTATTGTTATATTTTTTCAAGATTTGATTATTTTCAAAATCGTTTATAATACTCCATAGAGTGTTGAAGACATAAAAACACTTTTTTTATCTATTTTATTACCGTCTTTGTTACACTTATAAGCGATTAATACCATCATTGTATGAATTTTATCGCATATAACACTCATTGTTTGAACAAAGGAACTCGTATATTTTGAGCTCATAAAATTGATATAACTCGGATGGCTGTCTTTATAGTAAGTAATAATTTCTCATAATATTATATTTTCAAGGCAATCATTTTATATTGCTTTAGCCCAAAGATATTGAAAAACCCTCAAAGAAAAGCAATTATATAAATTTTTGAGTAAGTTTTTAAAAACAAACTTATTTAAAAAACGGTTAAGATAAAAAATTTGTTTCTTTTCTTGAGATCTACAAGCCTTCTTTAAGGCTCACCCTGTGTAATCAATTATTTATACGGAAACCTACTAAGTAAAAATTATTTTTGCAAAATGCGTTTGTTTTGAAACTTTTCACTTACTTAAAAATTAAATATTATTGTTTGTCCAATATTTCTGTAAATAGGTAATGGAAATTTGTATCTACTGTCATTTTAAAGTTCTTGTCGATAATGTGATCTTCGTCGATATCTTCATCATCATTATTTAAATGTTAGTAAAATTATAATGAGATATTGGTTGCTATTTCATAAACTAAAAATGTTTATTTTTCCAGTAAACCCAATATACAGGGTGGTCCGAATTGTATTCCGTAAACTTCGGCAGCATATTCTGCAGATAAAAATAGGTAAAAAAGTTCGCATAAATGTATGTCCTGAAATGCTTAATTTCGGAGATACAGGGTGTAGAAATTTCATTTTTATTTCGATTTTTTCCAAATAATTTCTGAAGTAACATCAATATTTAGATGAAAATTGGTATCTGGGAATTTTTTGACATGAGAAATTTGATTTTGATGTCAATATGACTCCTACTGATAGAGGGCGCCACCTACATGTGTTTAAACTGTTTTGAAGCGTAATAACTTTTTGTCCGTACCTGTATAAAACTACCGACGGAAAAAATATACATCTCTGTGATTTTTTACATAAAAAATATCTCTTTATAAAAATCGCTACGAGCAACCGTTCTCAAGATATTTAGAATGGAAATAGTCAATACATGCCATTATTGACGAAAAATAAACACGTTGAGTAGATAGTTAGGTATTTCACTGAAATAATAAATTTGGGAAATGTTTGTTTTTTAAAATTAATCATATTTTTTCTGCAAAATAAAATGATGATAAAACAGTTTTTGTTGAACTTTTGGTACAAAAATATTTCAAATTTATGATCTCAGTCTAATAACTATTTAGTCAACATGTTTAATTTGTCAGTGATGACAGGTTTGGTCAGTGTGGAAACAGATGAATTAATAGAATTCATTGTTGCGAAGATGGACAGTTGCGCTTGTCAAAGAAGACAGATATCATTACTACCTTTGTAATATTGCTTTTATTTTATAGTATCATTTAATAGAAACTACTGCCTGATATTGCCGTTTAATTTATATTGGTTGACCACCACAATAGGATAGCACAATTGGCGACGAGGATAAAAACAACCACAGCAAAAGCACAGCAAGTACTAGATAATAATGACAAATGAAAGATCTGCCCAGAAAAGGTATAAAAAGAAAAATAATAGCATATTGTTATTTTCTTTAAACAGAAAAAAAAGGAAAAATGTGAGCCATAGTAAAGTTGTGAGCCACGGGTATTTAATGTGAGCCATAGTTAAGTTGTGGGCCACAGGTATCTAGTGTGAGCCATAGTTAAGTTGTGAGCCACGTGTAGTGAGTGAGCCACAAGTAATGAGTGAGCCACGTGTAGTGAGTGAGCCACATGTAATGAGTGAGCCACGTGTAGTGAGTGAGCCACATGTAATGAGTGAGCCGCGTGTAGTGAGTGAGCCACATAACTATTTTATGCTGTAAGCCATATAGGTAAAATGTACCTATGAGTTTGTATGCTACAGAGAAAAAATAAAAATAAAATTATAAATGTTATAAGTTATTCCTAAAATTTAAAATAAATTTAACATAATGTATCGATTGACATATTAATTAAATTAACGCTGAATAGAATAAATA